ATTATATAATACACAACAACACACGCGACACGCTAACTAACACAAGCATTATATTGTTTATATTTTAATAAGCACTATATAAAACAGCCCATATAAAATAACAAGCATATCTTCCATAAATAAACCATTGGTAAAACGAGACAAAGTAAACGAGTACTATGTGATCATATTCAATAAAGTGCATAAGACCAAACTTAAAGTTACTTCACGCTTGTCTGTTTACAACCGTCATGGATGTTGGGTAACATGCGCGTTCTTGTAAGGTCACTGATTGAACTACTTGTAACACTCTATTCGAGGGTGTGTCTCTGCATTATCTGTGATAACTAATCAACTACAAACATTCAGTATTTATTTATTCAATGATAATGTCACCTGATTATACAGCACCTTTAAATGAGTGTATGCCGAATGATCACACCACTGAAGTTTTTATGTGATTAACCTTAGACTTTACGATAAATTCAATGAATTACGTGTCTTATAAGTTTCTAGACACGATGTCAACCCTTCGCCAACGTCGCGCAACTGTGGCTTAAGCTATTCTACATTTGACTGAGTACGGCTAATTAGTATTCGTCGCTGGTGTATTTTAATATTTGAACAGTCTTTTTTTTTCACAGACCCCGTCGTATGGTGACCAGTTTTCGCGCTCCATCGTCCCCACATGCTAGAAAACATATCTAGAATAATAAACGTTTATTCTGCTTTGTTTTTATACTATATTAGGTATTCAACAACACCCGTACGGCACACTCCCTCTCCTTCAGCGTGCTATTTTCACATACCAAGTTTTACCTTATCATTTCTTTGATACAAGCTTCTGTACGGTCAAATACTAAACTATGAATGAAGCCTGAAGAAAACGCAATACTCGAAATGAAAATAATCTCCCAAACTAAGTAAGCCCCCTACTATATAGAACTCCTACCTATATATAGGACGACTATTGAATTGCAGCATGATAAGAGCTGCCGCCAGGTGACCAAGAAAAATGGAACAAAATATTAGAACTGATAGATCAATCAAAATGCTGAAACCATTACTAGTTACCGGGCTTTTTGGCTTGTTTTACGATGACAAATAAAGCGGAAACCAGCCAATAAGAATGACTTGGGTGTTCGAAGTCGCTCAGGGAGCCGCCCGCAACACAGCATATGTTCCAAACAAACACCGTTGGGGGCAGTATATCAAAATTAGAAGTCAATATACAAACATCCCATGCGGGATGTAAACTGGAAATCGTGTCTAGCCTTGTTCTTGTTCAATAATAGAAATAACATACATTCAGGTGAACTGCCAACAACTCCATGGATTGAAAACAACAACTATCCTTTATTTCATTATATTCAGCACACACTGTATCTGTTTATTACAAAGTTTCTAGGATATATTTCAGTTAATACGTGCTGTCAAATAATATCATGAACCATTGTCCAATGGAAGCAATGTAAACGCCCAGAGACAACACAATTGACTTAGAAACATGTGAAAATATATTCTCAGATCCATGATGCGCGGAGGGTGCCCATTCAACAATTCGAGCAATGAAATTAGATAAGAAACCGGAAAATGTATGCTTATAACTCAAGGCTAGTAAAACGACGGGAAATAATGTGAAAGACTTAATAGGTAGCAGATTGTTTGGTTCTGGGGATAATCCACGCAAATTATAGGAATTTTCTGAACTCATTTATTTTGGACAGCGCTATGAGTTGACAAAGCTTATTATATGAATAATACTTCACATCACACTGTAGACTAGGAGCACATTCAGTATATAGTTGTTTACAGCAATTAATGAATTTAAGTAAGTAAGTCAATAAACAAACAAATCAAATTAACTACTGGAATATAAAAGAGAAAGTCATGGTCTATATAATGCGACAACCAGACTGCTTGATATAGTTCACACTTATGAAAAATTACACATCTAAGTGTTTTATCGCATGTATAAAATCGTTGTCTTCAACGGAGTTCATCAGTTTGGATACCTAAGCGTATTCTAATACTCTTTTGGACTTGCTAAAGTGGGTTGTCTTGACCTACAGAATAACGGAACAAAATACTATAAGTTAGAAAAATAAGTTTGGAAGACTAATGCCATTATTACTGATATCAACGATGGGAGTATATGCAGTGCACAGTTTGAAGACAAATGTGTGAGTTAAGTATGTATATCAATTTGTGAGCCGTACCGTTCCACTTGTATCAACCAAGCATGTTTCACTTTCGTCATCACTGATGTCACTCATATCGTCCCATTCATCTTCGTCATCGTCTTTATTGACCGTTTGTCCTTTCATTTTGATTGTCATACTTGAGCCTGCCCTCAATACCTGTCCAGACTTGAAGCTGAAGTTGAAGTCCCTGCCTCCCTTGCTCCTTCGTAGTTTGTAACCTTCCAGTGTTTGATCCTAGTGAGTCAAATGAACGATAAACGCATACCATAATATTAATAGATCACATCGATTATTTTTAAAACCACTTCACTTAATCTGTTTGGTAAAGCTAACTCACCGAATCTCCCTTGTTAACTATCTTTACACTTTTTTTGGATACATCGATTGAAATTTCAAAGCTTGATTTCTGCTCTTCCATTTCCATTTCATCCAAATTCAGCCTAAAAAAACAAAAAATGGCATTAATGGTTTTCGTAGAACGCGAGTGGGGGTATTACGTTGAAAATTAATACAACTTGTGTAATATTAATCGTAATCATGATGCGTTTTAATAAAGAAGACACACTATAAATAAAACGATGGGTTTATATGTGCTTTTTATATGTTTTAAATGTACGACCCCCTTCTTTCACGAGGACCCTAGTAAGTCGCGACCCTCGATAAGTCGCACTTTTTGCTTGGATCCCGACACCCGCGACTTAGCGAGGTGCAACTGTATTGTATACAATGATGGATTACAATGCTTTGATACTTAATAATTTTTACTTCTGACCTGTTTTCTTCCATCTCCAACAATTTTCTGAATTTCGCAATTTCTTTGTCAAGCAAAATTCGGTCTCTTTCGGCTTCGGCGAACTCCCTCGCTTGTCTGTCTAGTCGATTGAGTAATTCGCGGATTTCTTCGTCCTTCTCTCTAATAAGACCGAATTGGCGTTCCTGGTCTTCTAATAGTTTCTTTTTTCTTTCTTCGAGTTCTTGAACGCGTTCTTCCATGAAACCAATCTGCACAAATTATAAAAAAACAGCGAAAGTATAATGTAAACAAGTACGTCAACAGTTTCAATGGTAAAATACTTTCCCGGCAACATGCTAAACATATATTACATTACCGGCATCATTTGTAGATAATTATCAACAGAGTTTTGTTAACTATTGTGTAAGTGGTATTCAACGATGTTTATAGTTATGCAAAATTTCCTCATTTGGATTCATATATATATATACTTGCCTTTGCTAAAACTGATCTGTGCTGATCATCCATTTCACCAATCTTGAGAAGGGCAAGTTTCAGTTCGTATTCCGTTGCGTTAGATCTGCTCTTGAATTCGTCAACTTGTCGTCTCATTTTTTTCAACTATGTAATACATACAAATAGTGTAAGAACAATCACACATTTCAATTGGCTTCGGTATGTATTTAACACAATCATATTGACCAAGTCTCTCCATATATTAAAGGTTAGTGATTATGATAAAAACCTACTTCAAAGCCGTACTCATTTTCAATAGTCTTTTTGTATTTCTTAAGCTCTTCGCTATAATGTTCACTCCATTTCTGTAATGTCGCTTTCAGTTTCATCTTTTCTTCTTCCGCTGCCTTCTTGTCCTGGTCAAGAATACCAGATATGATCTGTTTCTTTGCCATCTTGATTTCTTCCCACTATGACAGTAATAAGAAAATTATTGAAATGTGGTTATAGTCGTACATGTAAATTTCAATGCAGTGTTAGACATTAATTAATTGTATGAATTTGAATAAGTTACAAACCTGCTTCTCGATTTCATCTTGTAGTGACATTTCTTTCCTGAAGGTACTCTCCAGTTCTTCACGCAGCTTCCGCTCCTGTTCCGCTATTTTACGAGCTGCAGCCAGTGCCTTAGCTTTGCTCGCCACTTCTTCATTGAGCGTGTCTTTTTCCAAATTAATAGTTTTGACTTCTACGGTTTTATTTGCTAAATCAATTTCTACTGATTTTAGCCTGTGGAAAAAAAGCGTTACAAGTTTAAAATTTGTTTAGATTTTATGTCTGAAATACTTGTGCCGTGGAGACACTTCTTTGTATATATACTCACTCTGCCCGGAGGTCTCCAATTTTCTTATTCCAGTCATCCCTCTCATCGTCATTCTGTTGTCTCTCTTCATTGATCGTCTTGATAAGTTCACGGATGTCACGTAATGATATTTCGTACTCATCCTTCAAGTCTCCAATTGCATTAGCTACCCGTTCCTCACTAGTGTTTAGTTTACCCCAGACTTTTTTCACTCTCTCGTCTCCAGTTTCAATCTTCCTCACAACATCCACATAGCATGCGAGACGTTCGTTCAGAATACGTAATTCGCCCTCGTAGTGTCTAGCTAAACTGACATCTTTATCTCTGGTACGCCTATTTTCCACTTCATCTTCTAGACTTCGCTGTTTGGCCTGTATAAGACAAACATTGTATAAGAAAGAGGCATATGCAAATCGCAATCATCCTCTCTGGTGAAATCTGTACATTGAGAAAAACTATTATTCAGACGTGTGTGTAATATACAAGTGTGTTCGTCGCACTCAACGTGGCTAAGAAGGTTTTTAGGAAAGATTATACCGGATGTTGAATAGTGAGACAACCTGATGAAACATTTAATCCAAGATAATGAATACCTCCTTAGAAATGTCTACAGATTTTTCGACGTCAATCTTCTCCTACAGAAAAAAAAACAAGTAAATGTTGTTATCAAAAATGCAGAAGTAGCAACATTGTTCTTAATGTTTACGTTTTCTATCTAGAACCGAGGTTATAATGATTCATAATTCGTTATTGGTTTCAATTCAGTACCCCACCTTTAGCGACGCGGATTCATCTTCATCACTTGAACTGCTTGAGGAACTGCTAGATGAACCGCGCCTGTCGTCTTTTACCTCGGGCTACAAAGATAGTTTTTATCTCATTAAAATTTAAATTACTTGAAATAAATGTATATTAGATTTAGAAAGTTACACTGGACGTGTACAACACACACTATAAAAAGCAAATGTACCTTTTCCGGTTCTTCCTCTGCATCACCACTACTTATCATATCCTGTGCACCGTCTAAGATCTGCTGCAGTTTCTAAATTTAAAAAATAAAGAGGGCTATTGACATGAATAATATTTGATTAGAAGTATTCGGTAAATTACCACAAATAAATATTTTGTAAGTTAATGATGCTTCCCTACCTCAGCTGACATGTCGTCAAGATCGCCCTCAATGGTCAAGCTAGTTTCAACAGATACCTTGAAAAGTAATACATATTTGATGAGTTCCATATATCTTTGCTACTAGCCTATGCAACATTTAAATATAGAACTGCTTATTCATTTACTATTATGGTGGTAATCTGAACTTACTTTGCTGTCTCCAACTTCTATCGTCTTTTGTTTTTCGACTTCTATTTTCACGCCCTAATAAAAAAGTGTCAATTAAAACAAATCATAAACACGTCACAATTGCATACTTTATACATATAATCACATTAGGCATTATTACTGATAATAAAGTTTGCACTACTTGAACACTTAACTACCCCTATGGTAAAAATGGAACGTGTGATGGCGTCATGCATTGTAAGGAAATTTCTCATACCAGCCGTTAAATCATTTTCATAATTTCCACCTGTAATTATAGGGTTAATACGTTTTCATGACAGATCATCCTATTTTTTTCTAAATAAAAGTGCTTGCTTCTATTATCCACTTCAATAGGAGTAGATTTTACTGGGGTAACATAAAAATGCACGATTTGACGTTGTTGTCAAACTCCATGTGTCGCGAACTACATTTCTCTGTTAGCAATGTATAAATATATAAACTGTTAAGAATATACTACACTCCTCTGTGCATTTGTATTGAATTGTGTTTGTGAGTAACCAGTCAATGACCATATAGGCATTAAAATCAACATACGTTCTTTGATGCAGAAAGCATACATAAATACAGGCACAGCCCATTACCATTTACGAATAAAGCAAACTATGCAATACTAAATTGAAACTTACGTCTGTCTCTGTGTCACCTTGTTTCTCTTCTTCTCTTTCATTCTTTATAGTCTTAGTGTCCTATAATATAAAATGCGACGATGCGAGTTAGATCAAAACCAAAAGTCCATGAATGTTATATTAAGTACATCTAATAGTGAATGTACTTAATTAATGATGTGAAAGAATTGAAATACTACTTAGTGAATTTCTGATATAACGTATACATGGTAACATGACTTCACATGTAGAACTGGATAGATATAGAGTTGCAGTTTACATGAAATCTTACCTCCTCTTTTTCCTTCTCTACTTCTTTTTCTGTTGTAACACTTGTTTCTACTTCCATCTGTAAGAAAACACTACGATATTAAAATAGTGACTGCAATCTGCTGTGCACATCAAACCCACCTCATTGAAGGAGAGTAGTTTGTTAGTAACACAGAAATGCATTGATTATTATCACTGTTATTATGCATAACATACATACCTCAACTTTGACGCCATCTTTTTCTATGGTGACGCTTTTTTCCGTTTCCACCTATAAAATAATGTCTTTTGTTATAGCAAAATGCAGTTAAGTAAACCATTGATTACTTTTTCTTTCTGTCACTCACTCATACAATGTTTTTACCTCTGTTGTAACGGTCTTTTCACCATCTTCCCCTTCCGTGACAGTCTGCTCTACTTGCATCTATGTATGGTCAAAGGAAATGAGGTTATTGAAATGAGGTTTTGAAAATAGATGTAAAAATACATACTATATATTTGTACACTTATACTTACTTCTTCAGTGACTTCCACTTTCTCACCGTTTGCTTCGACACTCACACTTTTCTCCACTTCCATCTACAGAAACACATTAACAAGTGTTTTAATTATTTATTTTAGTATTTTTGATTTATTTAGTGAGAACTGTACAACACATGTGTGATATATTTATCGCAATATCAATCAGATTAGAGTGGGAGCAAACATTCACAAGACAAAAAACAAATAAATGACTGATAAGTATGAGCAAGCACATGTTTTTCAGGTGATGACCTTATTAACATGTGTTATCTGTATTCATACATTGAACACATTGAACAAGTTATATTTCGATTAACCATATTTCGTTTAATTTGCTTGTAGCCAACTACAGTCAGTAACTGTAAGTTGTCAGTAACTGTTTCTACACTGTTTGCCCCCCTCTTCCAAACAGAAGCAAATGGGCCGTCACTTACTTCAGTCGAAACTGTCTTAACACCATCCTCGTCTTCTGTCACAGTTTGTTCTATTTCAACCTGTGTAGATAATAATACGGGGAAACGCATGGAGTGAATAAATCAGAAAACCTGAAGTTTGAGATAACACAATGCTGGAGGAAACAAATTACAAAACAAAATAGAATGCGCATATCTTTCATAATATACATAACAAGGGTTTATATATTTTTACATATTTTTTACAAAGAGTGGATATTATTCCTAGTCACAGCAAGAATTCCATCTTTCCCTTATTCAATAATTGTTTCAACCTCGACCTGGTGATTTTAAACACATTTTTTGAATGTACAAATAATTTCACAAACCGCATTATTCCATTGCACTATTCCATCTCTCGATATTTTCAATGGACATAAATAGCATATATACTGATAAAAAGATTGTGGCGCTGTATTGTGATTATTTGCCAGAAGCGTATGATTCCTGGTGTATGTATATTTCTAACAATGGCACACCTTCTATAATCACATGTATTTACCTTTGTCGTGACTTCTTCTATTTCGCCATCTTTCTCAGTCGTCACTGTTTGTGTCACTTCAATCTTTGGCAGACAGAACAATCAAATTAAAATGAGATAAGAGATACTTATTTTTATATCACATATTATTTAAGCAATGGCTGCGTTTTTCGTATAATTCCTTTGTCGGTTAAAATGTTTTTGTAATAAGGGGCAACACATGTTTTGTAAATTTTACAATCTAGGATTTGGAGTAATCTAAAATATATGTTTATACTATACCTCCACGCTTTTTTCTCCATCTTCGCCATCGTTTATTGTCTTCTCTATTTCTACCTGCAATTAAGAAGAGTGTAATATACGACCTTGTTATTACACAGGTGACGATGATATGAAACAAGGACACACATACTGTAAAATGACTAATTTTCGCTGGGTTGAAAATTCAGGCATATTCAGTGGGTTTTAAATTCACTGATATATCGTTTAGATAATGTGTTCTAAGCTATTTTTTACATATTCACTGACTGTGTTTACATTTAGCTCATTTTACAGTCAGCGAAATATGCAAAAGTAAACCCCAGTGAATAATTATCTCTTTTATAGTAGCATACACTAGTTTACTGTTACTGCACAGCACAGACACATCAGACTTACAATTAATGATTATAAACGTGTATGAACAATGATTATACGAAAATTCATAAGATTCTGCATTGGAAACTCACAGATTTGATGTCTTCTCCTTCCGATCCTGAATCTTTAATATCGACCTAATTATTAAATACAAATATGTTTAATAATTATAATATATACTTTTAACTGACACATGGCGCATTCTTATATGATCTAGACATGTTATCATCGGATGGTCGAATATCAAAACTGCTGTAGAGGTTTAATCAGTAAAACTAAATCATTTGTTTTCGTTAATGTCAAAAATATTTACGAGAGACCAATAATGTTTTATTATGATTATCGCACTGTAGGCACTATAAATTATATGGTGTTTATGCTTACGTCTCTACTGTTATTATTAGATAGATCAACCTTGACACCCTAGAAAAAAAAGAATACAGAATTATTGGCAATCTGATCTACATGAACCATAATCGATCGTATGGCTATAAATGTCAATATGACGTCGACCCTATAATCATCTAAAATATGCAGTGTCGTTATGCTAAACTATAAGTTTGGCTTGACTGATTTGCTGGCTACCTGTATATTTGTTCACATCTCCCATCTACCTCGTTTTGATACCTTACTGGTAAGCTAGCTGGTTACATTTTGACTACCTGGCTAACTACCGCCTCGTTCTCATTACATACCTGGGCACCTGCCTGACTACACATCTGCCTTCCTTCTAACTACCGAGCTAGCTAGCTCCTGACCGCACGGATGGATACGTTCCTAACTACACATCTGTTTTGACTACCAAGCTGGCTACCTAGCTGCCGATCTCCCTAACTGCCTAAACTGGCTACTGCATGCCTAACTTACTGCTTACCTTCCTAGTTACCTAAGCTAGCTACCAACAGCCCACGTAGCTGGCTACCTTCCTATCTACTTATCTACCTAGCTTCCTAATTACCTAACTGTTTTCCTTCCTATGCTAGATACCGTCTGGTCAGTAGCAGGTTACCTTCAAGTAACTAGTACGAAGACTACCTAGGTGTCTGATTACCTAACTGGTTACCTTCCTGACTACATGGTTACCTACCCTACTGTATACATAGCTGACTACATTCCTGGCTACATAGCCGTCTACAATACTATTATCTAGCTGGCTACCTTCCTTGATAACTAACCCCTTATCTGTGCACTTTCATGGTTACAATCCTGGATGCCTCACTGGCTACCGAGATGAATGTCTTGCTGGACATCTAGCTTTAGCGATTGGGAGTTACGCCGCCTTATTTCCATATTTTGCTTTAGTTCTCCCAAATAACCTATTTTAAAACATGTAATAAATTGCTTGTCGTGTTTTATTGGAACAAAATATGGCATTCTCGTAAACACAAGATAAAATCCAGAGGCTCTTACATTTTTGCATAATCACCTATGAAATATACACCTACACATTTGGGCAAACAATGGATTTAGTTAGAATGACCCCTGAATGACCCGCCTGGTGTTTTATGTGTGTTGGCGAGTACGACAACGAGTCCACTGTATTTTAACTATTCAACTACCGAATCAGTATGTTTGATGATGTTACATAACGCGGTAGGTACTGTAACGCTCAAAAGTCTCGCAGGTTCGCCACTGATTTTCTTAGCAAGGGAAAATAATCGGGTGTTCAACAGACAATGGGCCAGTGAATTAAGTTATTTATGATGGTGTAATTGTTTATAAGCACTTTAGATTACTTAATTTAATGACTAGGTCTTAACAGTTTATGAGAAGAGAAGATGGGTGTGGTATTCATGTCATAAAAGGACGTTTACCTCCAAATTTACACAAAACACTGATGACGTGACGATTCTTCGAGAACAATTTGCAAACGTACATGGAGGGTATAACTTATTTTCGGCTATTCATTTTATATTTTTAAGAATTTATAAGAATACTAAAATGGTTCCTCTCGAATATATTTCAAGAACATAAATATTAACTTGCTCTGTAACTTATACTCGTGTTCACTACAACGAATGATATACTGTTATTAAAATGCCATGGACACGAATTCTGATTTGTTGTAGTAACTAAACTATTTACCGCTCCTAGGTAGAGTTTATAGATGATATAATTAAATAGATGTGCCAGGTTAAATGTCTTACTGTGCCTCTCCAGGTACGTTTGGGCGTTTTCAGTTAATCAACGAACAAATCAATCAAACAATTAATCAAATCATAACTAAATACACGGTAACACTATTTATTTCAAGGTCCATTAGTCCTGTTCATGTACCTGTTCAGACATTGTCACAAAGGAGTGTCTCGTCAGTGTTTCTAGTACGAGGCCATAATAGGGTTATTGTTATCATGGTGGCAAGGTTCAGAGGTTCATATCGCCGTTACCCACTTTACCGCACGTACCAGTTTAATCTTACACTGTGTCTAACGATTATTATTTATATGCATTGGATGATAGGGAATAATAATATTATTATTTTTATGCAATTAAATATCATATATATTGCACCGAAATAATGTATTTTACGATAAAATTAAGCTATTCATTTTTTCGCAGTTATTTAGTTGCAAACAAGTTCTTTATAATGAGTTATTTCGTGACACTAACAACTAAAATGGCTGTTTTATTATTACCACGAAGTACGAACAACTATAAAATGACTGGACAAAGAACCCTGCATTCTGATATACATTGAGAATGTACTTACAAGAGTAATTGCTTGAACTGTTATTGAAGAATATAAATTGAAATAGAAGAGATGAAATACTAAATTTTGGTCAAATAAACATGCTAATAAACGTAAATCGAATAATATTTCAGTTCCCTACCAGTCGTACTGTGCATAAGCAAGTCAATGTATATTACTTTGCACCATTCCTCGTCCGCATAGAATAGTGGTGTGAGAGAAATTATAGGTACTAAATTATAACTGAAGAGTGTGGGCGAATCATCTAAATATGTTGCATTTATTGTTTGTGTTTTACTTTAATTATGTCATACTTGCATTGAATATCTGTTACACATTTATTTTATTTTATTTTCGGCACTCTTTTATATAATGACCTACATCTCACCAAACTGGCTCTGACTGGATTTACCAAACTCCCACCGCCGCTCCCACATTTTTGATTACAGTAAAAGACGTGGCCCAACGCCAAATACGATAATAATCTTTGTGGTAACTAACTAGATCTAGTCTCTCAGATTATAAGAACACACAGTCACAGACTTACACCAGGGCGTATGTTTTTAAATAGTTAGGTAATTAGGAACATGCCCATTTACCAACACACTTGGGAGACGTATAGCTTCTTGGATGTGTCGAAGACGAGGTTATTTTCTCCCCAAATTATTTCTATCTGGTAATGGTTACCATCCTTATACAGCCTGGCCTAACAAATAGGCCATTGGACATGAATAAAATAATCAGATAGCTTTCTTAGAAACACCTTTCTTATAGGATGGAGTCATATTCGACAATATCACTGTCGTCACATTATTAAGCGATGATATTATTATCGTGATACATCTATAGTGATACAGTATCTGCTGTGGTTAACATGTAACTGTAATCCATTCATTGAACTTAACGACCAATCGATGAACTTACACTCTTCTACTGCAAATGTCTTATTCATTTTTGATTCTTTTTCGTTTGACTTGTTGCGTTTTCTGTATTTCTTTTTACTTTCGCCAAGCATTTGTTGTTCCTGATGTTGTCAGGGTTACGTTTAATGACAACCTGTCCAATTTTGATTGTAAGGTTAACAAAGGTCAAGCCTCGGTGTAATGTGTGTCAGACGCACTCGGTCAAAGGTTAGAAATAAACACAACCTATGTTTTAGTGCATTTATCAAGTGGCCCACAGTCTATCTATACCTGCTGGATATATCATATACTAAATAGCGTCAGTAATCAGTGGTCACCGAACCTTGCCTACTTCACGTAAATTCGATCATGCTAACGAAACATTAGTTCAAACAAAACGTACCTTCACATCGACGTCGACACTTAACCCTTCTTTGCTTTTAGCTTCCGCCTGTCCCATTCCGTCTTCCATGTCCGTTAATGGTGGTTACTTATAATTGAAAAATAAAAAATAAACATATAATTCCAAAATATATTTAACCTTGCACCACTATGTGTGTACGAGAGTTTTTACAATTTAGTCGCAAAAGCGATTTACGTAAAATATTTTCCATTATAGCCGTAATTTAATGTTCTGAAGCTAGCTTTGGTAATGCAGCGCGATCTAGGTGAGGCTTCTTCTCATTTAGATGGCATACCGAGATAATGAACGCACATAACTAGAATACTACTATAATGAACTATATTGCAATCATTACTGAATAATCTACCAATTATATTAATCGCATTCTGTGTTTTTATATATGCGCGTTTTAAACACGAGACATTATATACACTGTACATTGGGTTTGGTCCAATTACGTATATTTCTTCAAAAGTTCGGATAAAAGTAATCGGAGTTTCTGTCTTAACTAAAACGGTTGTTGAATAATACTCCGTTCAATTACAAGGTTATGGATAAATATATAATACATATTATGCAAAGATTTTACCAATTCAACATTCTGTCCAACATTAATACAGTAGCTGCACTCACCTTGTTGCAGAGTGAAGATAACGCCAGCTTAATTCGAATGAACGAAATATCGAACGATAGCAACTTTAGTATTACCAGGCGCCTCGTACGCCCTCCGCCTACGCTGTGCAATAGCCAAATATGGGCATACTCGTGATACCTAGGTCATAGATGCTTAATCGTCGTATGACATCCATCAGTTGAAGTGGCTAATAATTAACGCCATATTTATTTATCTGCCGACGGTACTGTGTTATCAAACGTAGTGCATCATACTATGGATTGTCCTTAAAGGGCTGTGGTCGTCACACAGCGCGTCTTCTAATTACGCGTAAATGTTTTTATTCGCGGGATGAACAGGTATCCAGTGAAAAGTTGGCCAAATATTGTGATCTATGTAGTAATATGGAGTAATACATATAACAATTGGCAAGATTGATCTTTTGATTCAATCAGCGCTGAATACACTATTAATATATGGTTTTACAAGCTCAATCACTTACAAATGTCATTCAATGCCACTGAGCGTGTGTTCATCATTCTGTCCCCTGATAGGCTCTTACCTTCATCACGTGCACTACGCATTTCAATACAATATGATATGACAATACTATGATCTACATATACTATACGTTTGTTTGGTTCAATTGTTGTAAACAACTACCCTGCCTTATGGCACCAAATCGCCTAGCTGCACGTCACCACACGTGCTAATAGCATAAAACCCGTCCACGCGATCCGCGTCACACAGTGTAGCCAGATTGCTGATGGCTTTCACCATCCTAGTAGAGTCAGATCTGAAGGTCTTTGCCGCACTCTGGCTACGCTGTGTGACACAGTTCGTGTGATCTGTATTACGGGGACTAAGTGTTCGGAATAGTGCCCTCAAATAATTAGTATGGAAACACGATGTTGGTGTCGAGCCTGTGTTGTTTCTTTTCATGTTGAGCTAAACCTACTAAGAACATGTCATCTTACCGTGACCGCTTCGGGGACCGCTTCTACGATTTTTATCTCTGGTACCTTCAATTTTCATTGGATCTGTTCATTCCTTCTTTCAAGTTTTTGTCGCATAATTCTGTACGCCATTTTCTGTTTCCCAATTGACCTGTCAATCTATCGCAGTATTTCTTTACTCTGCCAAATAGATATTAGGGCGCGTACCTTTTCATCAAATCGGAAATTGCGTAAAGTTACGAACGATGTTGTCTTCACCATAATTGCAATGAGAGGTTACTTCAAGTTGAAGAAGACGATTGAGGGCGTGATTAGGGCTCCAATGGTTGGGCCCTGCGTATACACAGTCGGGGCCATGTCGGGGTTCAACCCTATAGGAGTTCAACCCCGAGGGTTTATTGGAGCCGAACTTGGCTCTAGCTAAACACGTATACACGGCCATTTTTGCTGGCTCGAGTCGTAGGGCTCCGATAAAATGCTATCCTGTGAACGTAGCAATTATCATCACCGCATAATAATAATGGTGACGATGTCATGCTATGCGTCAAAAGAAGAAAAATTTTATTACATACAAACTTCGTACACACAACGAACGGCACCAATACTCTTTCCATTCTCCATATCATCGCTTCCATTTGCAATTCGCTACCTCATTACTATTCAACCTGCCTATTTTCCCCTATGCTTGTCAGAGCTATAAAGGGTTGTACACGAACCGTCTAGCTTTGTTTACCACATCTATTGTTTATATTAATCCTGAGTGGTTGGTTTTATCCATGAATACATATATTTGTATCGTATCCAAATGACACGCATATTGATAAATATTAGAATGCAAAGTCATAATACAAACAATTAGCATAAAGTTATAGAGAACTAATGTAAAATTCAACAAATGTAAAATACAACAAATTTGGGCTTCAACTCATTTAAATATTTCGCACTGTCTCCTAAATAAAAATTAGCAATTTGAATGTAGTGTAGTGCGACGTAATGTTCTTAGGATCGTAGATCGAGAATATGTGATGTGTATACTGAATTTTAGTTTTATTGCAACAATTAATAATTCAAAACTGAATCAAGGTAGGTTGATTAATAAAAATCACTGGAAATAGGCAAATAATTTTCTAATTGAAAAATACTAACACAGATAGCGAAATAATCCAATCTGTTACATCGAACCGTTCAATGTGACGGTACACTATGATTGATACTTTCCTCTGGGATGAATTTTAAATTTTTACCGAGTCTATAATTTTACATGGTAATACTTTCTTCTATTTACCAAATTGAGGATTTTGGGTCCCGGCATTATGAATGTATTCACGATGGTTGAGAACGTTGTAAAATAACCTGAATTACAATAAAGGGGAAAATAAACGAATCGTTAAAAAAAAACATGCGAATACTATCACAATATAGCTTAATTTAACCAAATGTATATAAAACATGTACAGATCCTCCACGGACGGGTTTTATTTTTGATAATAATATTCAGCGGGTACAGACAACACCCTGAAATCAGGGTTGAGCTGGCACTAAAGGTATTATCCTAGGTCCTATGTAACCGCTTTTACTGACGTAATGCTTTTAATAAAACACAACCGTTAAGTGAGAACAGAACAAAATTAAATTTGTCCAAGTCAGACAGACTTACTGCCGATAAAACTGCATTCATTGTTTCCAAATTAACAAATTACAGGGAGTTTACAACAACTATTTATCTCTTTTAAAATATTATCTACATCTCATAACTTTTACAATGATGACGCCGTACTCAGCTAATATATTCATCCCTCAAAATGAATAGATTTCAACACTCACAATTGCTACGTTTTAGCGCTCGCTATTCATACATATTGCAATAATTTGGCGACTGAGTTTGTCGTCAATCATTATCACTAGCGGTGACTATCTAACAATAACATCACCGCCTTCGCATTATGTATATTTTCTGTAGTGCTAATTCAGCACGAGATCGAGTAGAATTTTTACATTTTCTGGGTCGCGTTTTCGAAATCATGGTCTATTTTATTACAATCTACCGTGTTTACAAATTTTGACGGGGTAACATTGAGGTAAATAACAATAACAAAATAACACAACGACGCCCCTCGCATTTTGTACATTAAATTGAACAAATCTGACAGAGGATCACCCAAGATATCTACATCCAGAGTATTGAAGCAATTGAGATGGTAGTTTTGAACAAATCTGACAGAGATCACCCAAGATATCTACATCCCGAGTATTGAAGCAATTGAGATGGTAGTTTTGAAGAAGTCGAAAGTAGCGTTTTTGTTGTCAAAAATGATATTTGCTAAAAATAAAGAATTGAAAAAAATTCCACAAAAAAGTAATAAAATCTGACATACGTCTACCCAAGGTATCTACATCCCAAGTATTAAAACAATTGAGCTTGTAGTTTCAAGAAGTCGAAAGTAGCTTTTTTTATTCAAAAATGACATAAATACTCGGTAAAAATATAGAATTGAACAATTCTGACATAAGTCTATTCAGGATACTGACAGTATCAAAGCAATTTATGTGGCACTTATCAAGAAAAAAATGAACATTTTAGAGATCCACCCAAGGTATCTACATACCTTGTATCAAACAATTCAACTGTTTTTGCCAAGAAGAAAATACCATTTTTACAAAAGAATTACAAAAATATTCACTAAAAAATGACAATGACACGGTCAACCCAATGTATGTGCACTGTAGACCAAATTCCATCATACTAGAAGTCATTTAAGCAATAGTTTTTGGTAGCTAATTTGCATGATTTTGCAAACTAATTCTACTTGTCTTCATGAGGCAGAGTCTACTCTGTTTCATTTGACTAGATAAGGCAGGTTGAACCCATTCTACTTGTCTTCATAAGGTAGGGTAGTCTGTTCTATTCTATTTGTCTTCACAAGTTAGAGTAGTCTGTTCTACTTGACTTCACAAGTTAGGGTAGTCTGTTCTATTTGTCTCCATGACGTAGGGTAGTCTGATCTAACTACTTGTCGTCATAAGGTGTGGTAGTCTGATCTACTTGCTTCATAAGGTAGGGTAGTCTGTTCTATTTGTCTCCATGACGTAGGGTAGTCTGATCTAACTACTTGTCGTCATAAGGTGTGGTAGTCTGATCTACTTGTCTTCATAAGGTAGGGTAATCTGTTCTATTTGTCTTCATAACGTAGGGTAGTCTGATCTAACTACTTGTCTTCATAAGGTGTGGTAGTCTGCTCGACTTGTCTTTGTAATTTATGGTAGTCTGTTCTACTTGTCTTCATAAGGTTGGTTAGTCAGATCTACTTGTCTCCATAAGGTAGGGTAGTCTGATCTACTTGTCTTCATAAGGTAGGGTAGTCTGATCTACTTGTCTTCATATGGTAGGGCTGTCTGAACTATCCTAGAATGATGAGAACCAGAGAATATATCTTGCCAGTAGCGACTGTCCTACGAGGTAACCTCAGTTTTTACTTGTCTCCAGCACTGGTTTACACCACGATGCTCAAAACTTTCCAATTCATAGTCCGACTCTGTAAGCAATTAACACTAGTATCAACATCTCATGTGATATTTATCTGTGTGAAAATCAATTTTGCAATCATTTGGCCATGATAATGTTATTCACTACAGTGTTGGGTACATAATTAATAGTGTGTATTGCATTATCCCGTGAAATTGCAAACCATTATACACATTTAAACGAAACATGTATGTAATTTAACGGATTCGATTAAGTAATCTCAATAAAGCCAATCCTATATCCCTACATGTAGCTATATTTAGTATTTATTTATTAATATAAAATGATTTATATAAAAATTATTCTATGAGCATTTTCAGCCATTTTATTGATATACACTCCTTTTTTATTATCACATGTGTAGGTTGTGTAGTTGTTTTTATTATAATGCAAAATTCAATTGTGGTAGTAATATCTATATATTTATCTATTACTTTAATCACATCAGAATTATTAAAATAACAGGACTTACAAACTGGTCATTCAATAATTTGAGTAAACTAAAGTTTGTGTGCATAATGAAAAAAAAGTGATTTAAAATGCACAATTTCTAATAGGAAAATTAAGTGTAAAAATAATGAATACATAGTAATAGACACATGTGTTAAATCAGTATGTGTATAATTGTATTAGACCTAATTTACATAATAATAAATAATGAGGTATATGAAGAAAGAAAAATCCCACCTGATTTAGGTACAGATGTATAACGTTTCTGTTTATAGCATTTACTTGAAACACACTTGTACATAAGATATGGCCAATAAAACAGACAACCAAATGGAAAGAATGGTACTTTGTTCTTGTATTCCATAATTAGTCCATATCGATAAAAAGCCCACACTACTTCTGAACGTGCCTGGATATCCTCAATGTAAAAACTAAAAGAGTTCAGAACTCAATGAGAAAATACAGTCATGAATATATCTGAATTGTCTTTACGTGTATTTATAAATCAATACACTGCCCTGGAGTTGATGATACAGCCATTATTATGAACGATATTACTACATACAAACCTGAAAACAGCAATCAACAGGTTGAGAAGTAGGACGTTAGTGATGAGTACATAAATTCCAGTTAATATAGGAATTAACACTTGGATAATACATCCTTCATTGGTTAAACTTTCACATGCAATGTCATCACCTGTGACACAGATACGTAGGAGTACATTAGTTATATTTGCATATGATACATTTAGTCTAGTTGAAAGCTTCAGGTTTTGAATATATATAGAACATACAATGCGTTTTCAAATATTCACGTACAATGGACGGCTATTGTTGCTATTTTGGGCTGTGTCATGTAAACATGTTGATGCTTTATTTGATTAAATTAAATACTATACCTTCATATTCGTCAGTCAATAAATCTCCAAGAATTTGGAAAAAGGGCTTGTATAGCAAATGGGGCAGTGTTTCCATTTTGGAGTGTGGATTGTTCGGGTGAAGTAGTGCTTCCATCATGGCACCATAACCAAAAATAAACACGAGTAATATTACCAGAAATATGAAGAGTTCCATCACCTACAATTGAATTCAATTGGGACTATTGAAATGTCAAATGTATGTCCATTTTGCACGTATTATCTCACATGTGTGTGAATGTAAGTTGTAGAGTAACTTTGTAGAAACCAACCAAGGTACTTACCATTCCTCTGATCATGACGAGCTTCGGGCCAAGTTTGTCATTGGCAAAGCCCATAGGTAGTAAATTCAAGTAAGATGCGCATAAGGTGAAACTATAGAGCACTCGTACGAACACAAAATAATTGTCAGGTACAACGATTCGTGCAAGTACAGATATCCAAAATAAAGCTAACATTGTCACTTTGATCACGTTCCACTGCCTGAAACAGAAACTAATCAGTTTTCGTCGTAATCCAACTCTGTCAATATAGGAAATCTGTAAATTTGAGGAAATGATAAAATTATATATTTATTTGGCCATTGCTGACAAATGTGTAAATACGGCAGTTTGTATTTACATTGCACGTATGGTATTGAATTAGGAGGTGAATTTCATTACAAGCATCACAGCAAACATACTTAAAATTAAAACTAGTCTGCTTGGTGTGAACTAAAGTACAAACATGCTCGCACAGTGTCACGGTAAATTGCGAGGGATTAACACGTTCTCACTTCAAATATATGAATTATACAATTCTACTCAGTAATAATTTCAAATGGCAAAAAGACACCTACCAGTCGGATTTCCTCGATAGTGATACAAAACATCCATACAAGTACAATTATTTCCGAGATGCAAGGGATGCCCACTAAGGGAAGAAGGTCTCTCAACACAAAGGTTGTTAAAACGATAAGCATGTTTATCATCATCATCTTAGCAGAAAAGAAAGAAATAAGACTGTGATCATTTATTGATATAACATTTACATTATGTTATATGCACACTACTAGTACTATTTGATAGTAGTAGTATTCTACTGTAGAATATCATATAATTAGTAAGCAGATTATCAACACGCGGTAGATTATCAACTCCGGCAGAGCTGTATATGAATCACAGTTTTTATATACTTATTTAGCTCACATTTTGTTTTTGTGTGGTATTTTGTGCATTCACTTTGTGATTAACTAAAAGTAAAAAAACATTCGCATCATTAAATATGCATTTTGAAAAGTTTGGGGTTTGCGAAGTACAAGCAACCAATATATGATATACACCCACAAATCTCACACTAGATGTCCTTATTATTTATGGTATGATCTGTTTTTTATTATGATTATTACATTTTGTTTGTTGTTGTTTAAAGACTAAATACTTTTGATACGTTTTCAGTTTCACAATATTATTCTTTTGAACATTTTTGTCACACCATATATAAACTAACGCAACAAAGTATCTAACGAATAGTGTGATTAAAACAGTTGTGTTCCTGTAAATAGGATTTGAAATAGAAAAGACGTTGATGCGCATAAGCTAGCGAACATCAGACGTACGGAACGATCCATCCAGGTCGACTGTCCTACAGTTATAAACAATTTGGACAAGTACATTATCACATATGAACAATTCTGAAACAATCAGTATGTAGCACATGTTTGTGAATTTCATTGATGGAAAGAAAGTCAACAAAGCGTAGCGTTCACCACCCCAAATGCATCTAAGATCTAAAGTGTGTGTATATGAACGAACAAACGAAGTTCAACACCGTCCAAATCCAGACATTGTAGAGTATTGCTTGACACAATTTTATTTAGATTGAATCTGTTTCCATGTCCCTTGAAATTAAGACACACAACTACAGCCATTTCATATCTTCGACCACAATCCATACAGGCAGTAATCATGCTTTGTCATAACAACTGTGGCAGAAAACGACTACAATTTGAAGGGCGTGGAATATGATTCTCTGGTGATTCCCTGAGTAGTTTGGTTCTAACTCTATGTTGGCTCACTTCCACAGATTAGCTGTAAAACATAGCGATACTTTAGACTGTTATTTTACTTCCAAGCTTCCGACCAGCAAATTCAGGTTGAATTGTAGGATTGAAAGTCACAGCATAGAAGCAGAATCTCTATATTTCTCAGATATGTTCGTTAAGTGATTATGACTTTATCAAAATTGTTGTATAAATAGGACAGATTTGAACTTGAAAGCACAGACCGCAACCGCGTCTTCCGCGCTTTGAGTTATAGTTACAGTCCCAACTTAGTTTATCACTATTTAGTTGATACTTTGATTGTGAATGTTTGCTGCTTTACTGCATTTTATTTTTTCGAATGCGAAGCTAGCAATCACAGTGTAATTATGTGTCAGGTCACAGCATCTTAACTGTGCTTAGCGTAGGGGCATACATGACCATGATTCTGTCTGAGATATATATGTAAATAACGAGTCTTTGCATATTCGCCTTATTGCAGATATGGAATATACTTTTAAAAACTCACCAGATTGAAGAAGAACTGAAATTTGGGCGACAAAAAGTGGACACTGCCCTCAACAACTCCATTCTTTCCAGAATCTTGGTTCCATATCCGAGTCAGTTTGGTCTGGCAACAACTCATCGATATGAATTTCATGGCATGACATGCCCATGCTAGCGTCAGGCATGTGAATTTGTGGTTTTTGTTGAGATTGCAGATTGGTTTATGTAGCAACTTGTGGGATTTCTCCGTATCCTTTTGGTAGCACACTTGAATGGCATTGCTAGCTAAATTCTCAAATTCTCTATAAAATAAAGTTGGAAATCAATATTAATATTTGTATTTATTGTTATTAATTATAGAAATTATATTTTTTTCTGTAACTACGTTTTGGGTTGGGATTGGGTGTTATTGAACCATGTATTTTCAACCTTATTAAATAAATGTGCAAATGCAGTGTCTTATACATAACGCCTGAATCACTATTAGTTCGATGTATCTTTAGAAAAACATAATCGTTCTTTTCATTGTGTGCTTGTGGCCTATTCTAGAAAAAAACTTATTTTGTGAGATGAATGTGGTATGTCTTGTTGTGTATGTGATAATTGACCATAAATTTACTTGCAACATCGATCATCGTTCTGGGGGAATGTGATACAACTCAGGCACAGGGCTCTATCCAGAAAGAGTCATCATCAAGGGGAAGCTTTTTAAGTAGTCATGAATAATTCTTGATAGGAATTAATGTTCCTTGTAGAACCTGACATAATCATTGTTGTGAACCAGTTACGAACATTCCATCTGACCACACCACATTGTTTCTGCCATGGTCTCGTCCAAGTAAACTTCCAGCATTCTCGATGGCAACAACGTCGATTGTTCTTTTCATCCGCGACAAGTGAATGAACGATGCTGTGTCAATGTATTTTAATCAACAGTGGTACCAGGTATTGTCTAGACATATCCGATTCCAGTTAGATATCGCGTACGATGCCACTTACGACCAACAAATTATTCATATCATCAAAAGTGTCTCTATTTTATATATAGTAAAAGTGCTCGAGAAAATAACTAGCTACATTTGTAAACAGTGGCATTGATCCTGAATAGTTTGATGAAATTTAACCGATTCCATGCAAAAAATATTAACCAAACAATAATGGTATTGACTGTTTGCAAATAGGCGTGGTACGGGTAACTGGAATTGTTTTTTGTTCAATGACTGTTGTGGGATTGGTAATATTTAACCTGCAAACACAATGTGGTGGCATTCTTCGAGGTATGTAAATAGTTATAAAAGGTACATACATTCCCTGTTCTTCCAAATCTTCACCAAGATGCCTTTCTTCATATTTTGAAGCAAACTTACTCAAGCTTCGTAAAATTCTTGAGCCCAATAGGGCAAGAGCTGTAATAGTGGATGATGACGGAGATTGTCATTGGAATGTGAAAGGGTAGACACGTAAAGTTGGATTAGGATTCTTGTTGTGTCCTATTAAATATGTTACGCCAAATGTCAATGACTATTAATAAGGTTTAACAGTTAATCAGATAAATTTATAAAAATAATAATTTAAATTATACGGCAATTTGAATATTTGTGGTATCCCATGACTAGTTTATAATTGACAGTGGTGGAAATTATTAAATAAATGAAACGCAAATGTTCTAATGCATAATATATGTGTTACCACGAAAGGAAAACAATTAACAAATGATAATAACTGCAGTAAATGTAATTATGACACGAATGTCTATGCGGCCTGTATTTGATACTGTTATTGCAAGTGCGGAATGTTTTTAACGAGCGACTGGTATGTGGCCGATAGGTGTTGAGCTATTGTAACTAGTAGAGAACATTTTTGATTTGACATGACACGGAAACACGACTCGGCGTATATAATAAAAAATCGATGGAAAGAGGGTAAATATGTATTGTTTTTATTGCAAGGTTGGTGAATTCAAGAAAACGTGTCACCATACAATAACTTCACCACCCAAAGAAGCTTATTATTATACCACTTACCAATGTGATCTGGAGCAATGTTCCATAGTAACTTAGCCATTTCGTACCTTCCGCACAATAGAGCCCACACATAGAGGTCTTTCACTGATGGTGTGTATTCGGACACTGGAAATTCAAAACGATTTATAATTTAGTCCACCGTGTAGTGTAATATTATAATAGGTATGACACTAAACTTTAGTATCCTCCCCACCCCTCCCCTCCCCTCCAAACCTGTATCCCTCTTTCTCTATCACCGTCTACCCCGCTATTCTTTCTTCTGTTCCCCCTCTACCCCTAAATGGAGTTGCTTATTTACTCGAATTCACTTACAATCGATATAGTTTGGGTGGAATACTCCTCTTGTTAGACGTGCAGCAAAGTCTGCTACTTTACACAACAGAAGGTCGTCATTCCCTGATTTATTCTATAGGAAGAAACATAAACGTATCAATTTGTGCTTGTTGTCGGTGATCAAAACTGCAAATACCTAGAACATAATTACATCCTGAGTCCACTGTACTATGGTTGGTGTCCTTAGTTGACACGGCATTGAATATACTATCTCTCACTTATTCGGACACTTATTCACCTTGTAATAGTTATCTACCGTTTACATGCAACTAACCAAATTTAGTTTACGTTTAACAAGTCGTAACAGTGAAGTGTCATCTTCAATCAATTCATTGTAGAACAACACCTGAAAAAGATAATGTAGAATTAATTAACTATTCCATGATGCAAATACAGATATAAAGGCAACGAGTAACAATATTGGGAGATAACAAAATAACAATCATAAATTAATAATCAAATTAGATTAACGTTCAGAATAAATCACAGCTTTGAGTCTTTTCGAGCTGCGTTTATTTATATATTTTGTTAAACTAGCTAATTTGGTTTATTCATCGAAAAATTCCATTATGGTACCAATTGAACACACGTGCAATATTATTAGCGGAAGATCATGCTGTACATATGCACACAATACTTCGACAGATGGAAAATGATTTGTTAGTGTGCCAAACATTTTCTAGCTATTCGTATATGATATTATCATAAATATAGTCCACTATGTATAAAAAAACTTACACTTCTATAAAGATGTCCTAATGTAGTCTTGTCGCAGAATGGTTGCAGTGGCATACCATTCTCAAGACAAATCTCCAGGAACGACGCTTTGCCCAAAACCAACGCTGACATCATAATTGTCTTATATGATATACACTGTAACGGAATAGTGATATATTCAAATGAATTATATTGGATGTGTTCATAATTTATTACGCCGACTCTAACTGCTCATCAGATTCTAGGCGCAGCTAAATTCGATAGTTTTATCATATGTTAACGGTAGTTATTGATGAATGATCTTAAATATGAAGGGTAAATATTAATCGTCAAACATATATATTAATCAAGTTTTATTTATTAGTTTTCCATTACTTCAGATTGTATTTTCTATAATACTTCCTCTATAAATATTGCTAATAAAGATGTCAAGGACCAATGCTACAAAAAATGTCATAGTCAGTGACGACCAGTTATCATTGACTATAGGTGTCAATTTTAAACAACAAAAGACATTGCGGCCATAATAGCTCCGCTGACTTTTCAGAGTATCTTACTCAAAACAAAGCCGAACAAGGTTTGCACATGGAACATATATATCGAGTAGCAAAGCAATTTAGCTGGTAGTTTTCCAAGAGATTGTTTTTTTAAAAATAACAACAATAATTTAACTGTAACAATTAAGAATTGCCCACAGTGGTAAAAAGAAAGAAATACGCTTGATCCACAATATGAAAACAAGCGAACTCACCGTGAAATAACGCCTAAATAGACTTTTATATAAAGCTTTCATTGGCCATATTGAATCGAATGATTTTATGATATTATAATTACGTTCTAAACGTGAGCAAACAATTTTAAGTGAAGAGAAACTGGTTTGGAACCATGAAAAAAGGCCTCTAGTCGCCCATGTTTGATTCAAAATTGCGTGCACTTTAACACAATATGAATGGCCATCATATCAACTTTGATTTAAATTAACTTTTTTTGATTATATTATCAATTACCTTGACTACCAAATGTAAGTCATGGTGTATTGTTTTTGTGTGAGCTTTGAATGAGATCAGCCAATAAGTTTACTGACGGACGGAAGGAAAGACTTTTGTAGATTTTTGTAATCCGTTAAATAAATATACATATATATTTCTCATTTACTTATTCACTCTCATTCACTGTAAGCCCATATTAAATGGAATATAGAAACGATGCATCAAGTGCGAGTAGAGGAACGGTTTAGAAATACAACATGAAACATGAAAAATGAAATAAATATAAATTATCTTACTTGCTTAGTGATATTATTTTCCAGCATATACTCCGCATCTTCTGTGTTGATATCCCACAGGGTCATGAGAAGGAGAGTAGCGTGATCTGAACTACAGGACGCTATTACAAAACAGAATATCTACTTTGAATATTAAATTTAACGAGTATGATGCATTCCTACAATCTATTTTACCCATCGTATACATGTTAGATGTAACCCAACGATTATCTGATTTACCAAACATACGCAACACCTTTTCGTCAGATTCTCATTATATTTACCATTACGATACACTTTACCCATTATAGGTGTTATTGGATTTGTCTCTCTACGATCTATGGATGGGTATGTTATTTCCACTATACAATATATCTTCCCACTAACTAACTTACGCATCATATACATTGTAGACATCTTCCCACTAACTAACTTACGCATCATATACAATGTAGACACCTTGCCACCACCTGCTTTTACAATCATCAACACACCTGTAATACATCCATCACTCTAATTTACTTTTTTCAAAATGCCCGTTATTTCCAGTTTACCGATCGTACCTTCCCTCCATCTACTTTACACCTTACATACGCCTTTCACCGTCTATGATACGCATTTCACCGTCTATGATACGCATTTCACCGTCGATGATACGCATTTCACCGTCTATGATACGCCTTTCACCGTCTATGATACGCCTTTCACCGTCTATGATACGCCTTTCATCGTCTATGATACGCATTTCACCGTCTATGATACGCCTTTCACCGTCTATGATACGCCTTTCACCGTCTATGATACGCCTTTCACCGTCTATGATACGCATTTCACCGTCTATGATACGCCTTTCACCGTCTATGATACGCATTATATACTGTATAACTTCACCTCTTGTATATAGTATATCTTCAGATCAATTTTTCCAATTACATCCAGTCATCTACTTTACACATCATATTCTCTATATATCCTCTTATCATTCAGTTTACCCATCATTTACAGCACAAATACTTACTCGCAGGATTAATTTAATAAGTATGCTGTGTTCAAATTAGGTCTGATGTATTATGTAGCATCAAAATTACTTGTTTTAAAAGCCAGCTACTGCGAGGCTCATACGCTGGCGGAATATTTTCATATTTTGGCGGAACAGCCACTATGTAGTGTTTGGTACTGATCCCTACTATTATGTAGCCTTATCGTTCCTGGGTTTGAGAATATGCGAATTGATTTCTGATCTCTGTTCACTGTTCACTGCATGGTCAAAATGATCGATAATAATAATAGTGTGAACATTGAAACCAAGTTTAAATTTGTTCGATTTGTATTCAAGTCCTTGTCATGAAATATTAAACACAAAGAAATGAAATGTTGTGAATACGGGTTACATATTAGATGCAGTTGTGTTGTGACGACAACAACAATCGGTTACAGTCAGCTTTAATTCAATCTTGAACTACGTCACGTAATTATGTTCGTACATAGATGAATAATGAAACGCTCGGTGAGAAGAACGACTTGTATGTAAATAGCATTGTATACCTGATAATGAATTCAGTCCACAAGAGTGAACACAGCATGGTCTGAATGTTCTAATAGAGGTAATGTTCGAGTCTTGCCGCGCGAAAAAAATATCTCTTTCGATATTTAGAACAAAATCTGCACTCATACTTTTATCATCAGAATAAAACGAGAGCTGTAGGAGACACAAGTCGGTTATGCCAAAACCATCGGCAATTCCAGTTAGCCCTACCAGAACCACCCGTAATTGCCGATGGTGCTCGAAAATAAACCCTGCAGTAAACAATGGTGTGGTTTAAATACGCGTATCAGCCTGATATGTGAATCCTGAATGGCAGAAATGTGTATGCATTTGCATGTAAACGGCTGACAGTCGGATATTTTGAATTATATTGATAACTGCTCTATGTGGTCAGAAAGAAATAACATTATACGCATCAGTAATACATCTCACCTTTAATAAGTCCATTTTTAAGTATCTTCTGTTTGTGATGATCGATTCCGCAAGTTATTATCTGAATAAATGAACAAATAATACATATTCAGAAAAAATAAAGAGTCATGAAACTTAAATACATTAATGTTTCAAAATAAATCTAGGATTGGGTGGATAATTCATAACAGATATTCTGGAAATATTATATTCTGAGCTGTATCATATATGATGGCAAATCTGGAACATTGTTTACGCAAACATTCAGATATTGGCTCAGAGTAAAACATTCTGTATGTGTAAAGCATTAAAGCTTGTCATGTTATATAATGATACAGCAAGATTCTATTCCAAACATTAACGCATTCGAAACACGTTCGTTAACAAAGCTATTTTTTTTATTTTCATAAATGTATGTATATGTCTACGTGCCTTGTGGTTCTCATCTTTAGAGTCATTCAATGTTAAAATATCTTTCAGCAGTTGAACACACATATCAACGTCTGTGTTGTCGTCACAGAAGGTACTCTTGACCATACCTTTAATTTGGTTTTCTGTCACTGATCTGAAAATAATTCAAAGTATGTGGCACTTTTAACATAGACGTAGATGTTTCATTACTATACGCTATAATTCGAAATTCATGTAATAAATTCACGCCATACTACACTAATTGAAGTAACCCAACATAAATCATACATGGGACATGTTCTAGACTGAAATTAAATATAGCTATTTCTAAAGGCATTGAACTACGACTTATCGTGAGCTGAAAACAAAGTGTATGTGACACGTATATTATGAAATTCTCTAATCCGGATTTGTAGTTGCCATTTTAGTACCTGCAATCACTGCACATGCGTATTAGTGGTTCTAATTTGTTATCTAACGAATATTGTTATATGTCGTGCAACTGAAGCTTTGTTATTTTATGATAATTCATAATCCGATCAATACTGTTTCGCTTCAGCCCACAAAAGATAAAAATGCAGAAAACACAACATACTTTTGCGTTGCTATAAATGCAAGTATTTCGGCTGTCTTTCCCCCATCGCCATATGTTGCTAGGAGACGGATCCCTTTTCTGAACGCATTGTAAGCAGCTATTAATTCACTTTCTCCACCTTGGAGAAAGAACCACGTCACAGCTACTGGCCGACATTCTAAAAAGAAACAAGTTGTTTGCAAATTATGAGTTTTTAAAATGATTTAACAATTTTAAAATTGACTTTTTAAATGTTGCTATCCTTACGTATCACTTAGTACTGATAAGGAATGTACCATTATAAATTATGGGCAGCACAGAACAGGAGAGTAACAATTCTGTATGTACAGCTAATAGACTGTTGCGTTGTGACGTCATATGTTTACATTCATGCAGACCACCATATGACATTCGTCAAATGTCGCTCACCGCTGATCACTTGCTCACTAGCTGTTGTGACAACGTTGCCAATAATTTGTTTTATTAACAGAAATATATGCATGTAGAATTAAACAGCAGGAACAGGAGGAAAAAGGTAGTTATTTTGATCCGTAGCGAACGACCCGGACAATGACCGATTTTTGCTAACCAGTCACTGCGCACGCGCAAACGTAAACAAGTGCGATAAGCAATACAGGATTGGTGGGTCACAAGGCGCGAGACAGTGATGTCAAAACTGCGCTTGTATGTAATCCTATAGGCGGCTCAAACACGGCTGTGTTCACAGTCGTGACTGTCGAATTGATGGTAATTTCGCTATCTGTCTTACTAAATATTCTGACATTTCCAGTGTCATTGTGCATGTGTAGTGTAGAAACAACTACAGGACAGAGTTGTTGTGATGGCGTAGCCCAAAATAACTCACTGATGCCCCGTGGTGCCAGCTACTCATACATATATGCTTCAATCTAATTTGAAGTACTTGGCCAGCTAAACAAAAAATTCCCCCATCAACAAATCATTCCCTTATTTCCACCATCCGTTGACACTGAACAGTGGCGAAACATAGCCAGTAACATTATCGATTTTCTCTCAATGCAAGAAATCACCTGCTGCAGTCGCAGATTGGTTATTTTCGATATCAAACTGTGTATAAATCATCTTCTGTAGTCGATAATTGGCTACTTGCGACATCAAACTGTATATAAATCACCTGCTACAGTCGCTGATTGGTTACTTGCGATATCAAACTGTGTATACATCACCTGCTGCAGTCGCTGATTGGCTACTTGCGATATCAAACTGTGTATAAATCACCTGCTACAGTCGCTGATTGGCTACTTGCGATAGCTAACTGTATATAAATCACCTGCTGCAAGTAGCCTGATCGGCTACTCGCTGA